GACGCAGCTTTCTTTGGTACGCGCCACTTCACGCCAGTCGACTGTCAACCGCGGAGGCTAGCGGTCGTTCCGCTTTATGCGTACAAAAAAAGCGCCGCGCCAAGTGTAAACACGACGCACCGACCGTGCAATGCTTCCGTTCGCGAAATAACCGCAATGGATCACCGGTTTACGTCTTCCGTGACACCCCGATGGATTTGCTGTGTACGATTGTGTTGTTTTATTGTAATCGTTCATATTGCGTTGTAGTGTCAGCCGCTAAGCGGTAAAACAGTGGAAGTGTCTGTCAACTTTGTTTGTGGAGCGTTCTGGTCAGCGAGGTAGCTGTAGCCGAATTTTCCAGCTTTTGAATGTCGCCGGCCGGCTTTGCGTCTACAATCGTTATCTAAATTTCTCAAAGCTACGTAAATGGACACAGCTCGCGGGTGTCACATTACCATATTCAGAGAATGTCAACAAACTATTAAGTATTCGTTTGGTCAATACAGAACTAATGTGCGTTCTGATTTGCGCTAGAGATAAAGCTAGGCTGTCGATATTTAAAGTTTAAGCCGTTGTTAAAAATCAACTAGACAAGATCTATTTTTATTAAATCTTAAAACAATTCTGTAATGTTAAAGATTGATAATGAACAATTACAGTATCCCTCTATGTTCGACTTGTTAAAGCGTCATTCTCAAAAACAAAACTAACATAGGTGCACGCGAAGCTGCGAGCAACTAATATATAACTATTGTTAAAAGTTCTCTTTTAGAATTTGTCGTAAACATAGATACCATCTGCTTTTGATATAATCTTAGGAGTGGTTCCAGTGTACGAAGACTTGATAGATTTGGCGGTATCAATTAATGCCATCAGTGTACCCAATGCCCTAGTTAGACCAAAGACAGTTGAGATGTTACGGTATGTGAAGGCTCAAAATAGCAACTCGTGTCGCCTATATTGCATTAACAAGTAACAAATGCCACAGAGTATAAAAATAGTTTATTAAAATACCACACAAACTAAATTTTGTTGTAGGGCATTTAATTTTTTAGTCTTCGTTAATTGAAGTAGCCGAAACTTAAGTTAGTTTCGGCTATCATAAGAGAATGTTGCGATATTTTGTTCGGATATTAAATTTAATGCTTGTAGGATATGCTTAATTTCTAATGTTTCTTTAATGTTCGCGGATATGCAAAATTCAAGCTAATCATATCAGTATATACTTGTTCTCTGATTAGACAATAGCGATAACAAACCATTTTATAACTCCGAAAAGATAAGCGCTTTCGCCAATATACTTACAAAATCTTGAAAATTTTCCTCTCGCGGAATTGTTTTAAATTACACCGCAGAAAGATCAGAAGTCGGATAAACAGTCGGCATCAATATCGTTGTTTGAATAGTACCCACTTATTAGTATTAAACGAAGTGAAAGGCCTACTTTCTCTAGCCCTCCGGCCCTGCAGCTTGAATGTTCTGTTGCAGAATTTCACACTACAACGATAGATATCAGTTACACAGATTATAAATAGAATTATTGGCCATAGAGATTATCTCTAACTTCGTGTTGGCGAGTTTGTTTTCTAACAAGGTGAAAGTTGCTGACGGAACATTACATTTTATTTATCTTTGATGGTTCATCAAGATTGTTTAACTAGATTTCCTCTAAATTTGTGTAAAAGTCAATTTAAGCTTGTCTTTCGGTGGCTCTTTTCAAAGCCTCGTCGAACTTCGGCCCGTTAGACGGCCAATATATATTTTTTCCTCGGTTCACGCCCGAGGCGCGACGTATGTCGGTCAACACGATTCTATTGTTCATCTTTGATTTGCGAGTGGATTTATTCTTGAGAATCACTTCCTAATACATGCTTTCTAATATTCTCTTCCGTTACACGTTCCCGTTAAAATTAAGATAATGTATACAGCCGGCAGGCAGTCACGCGCAAATCAAGTCTAATTGATTTGATCTTTTGCGGTGTACGCCTGAGTATACGTGAACTTAAAGCTAACTTACGAGCTCCACACTTAAGTGGATTTACGCAAGCTTAGCTTATATAACTAACAGTAATTTATAACGATTGTGTAATGTAATAATACAGTTGCTATTGATAACTTCTGCAGGCTCGAATTAGAACAATATTTATACGGTTTAATACCGGATTCAAATTCGCGGAGAAATCTTAGATGTCGCGTGACCCTTATCGCATTATACGTTATCGGTATTGATAATTGAAATCTTGATTATTAAACAAGGGCCCCAAATTAAAATTGTATCTTAATCTGTGCACTATTTTTATACCTTGTTACGCGTCAAAATTGTACCGAGGATTACACTTGTAAAATGTTAAAAAATTATCATAAAATCTGAAGTCGAACCGACGATTGCTTATAAGTCGTAAATTTAAGTACTCTCTGTGTCATCATATTTTCGATCTTCCTAGAATCCCTTTTTAGTTATTCAAATGTACACATTTATTTAAGTAAATACTTAGTACTAAATAACATACAATATCGTAAGACTAGACTTGGCCGTAGTCACAACAAATTGGTATCTAGCCAATGTCCGTTGCCAAGTGCACTGAGGGGTGGCACTGCCCTTTTCAATTGATACCCAATGAACCAGTTCTGATTCATAATCAGAAATTAATATTGCATTATACGTTACGCCTATTAACACTAATAAAACAACGGAATTGCATTCGAGATCGTGGACATCTTTGGGCATACGCCAAGTGACTTTGCCAAGCGAGTTCTATGACAGTTAACGTAAATTAGCCAGCATAACAAGCTAAAATAATTTCCTCGAAAGAGCTCAATGCCTTGAAAAATACCTGAAGCTGCACCGTTCAGCGTAATATCTCCGCAACTCGCGTTGATCGTTCGCCAACAGTCTTGCCAAATATTTGTACTTGTTTCGCCATTATCTAATACATACCACATTTTCGATATGACATTTATACGAGACAATCAATCCTTTGTAGAAATAATCTGTTCATCGTACTCAGCCCGCAATGAATTGAATTCGCTAAAATTGTATCTTGAATTATTCAGCGTCCCTTAGCACGTATGATTAGGGACATAATTAGGCTTTATTTATGTTACGTCCGTTGAATATCGATGCTTATTAAGGCCGCATTACGAATTCGTCAAGTAGTGGCAGGTAAGAGGGGCGGAGAGGGGTGCGGGGCGGGTCTTCCGTCGACAACAGCTGTCATAGCAGCTGCCTATGCCATGCCGGGTCTGGCGCACGTGCGACTACACCTATTATTTAGACCACTTTTTTAATCTTCAAATGTTACGGAAGGTCCCAAACGAATCGTACACCTTAAGAACCCTTCGTGTTCAACCTACGTAAATATAGCAATTAACGCGATGTTTTTTACTATTCTCCAATACTAGGAAAGATAAAAGCCGGTCTGTTATATAACGATAATAAACAGAGTTTCGATTTAACGTTTTGACATGAGTTTCCAGTGCACGTGACGTTTGTTTATGTGCCAATTCAAGGCCGCTTGCATATTGCGACGTATTCAGCTCGCACAGACAGAAAAATGCTAATGCTTTACGTAATTGATACAATGTAAAACTTTAAAAAGAAACAAATGTGCAGTTTTAAATTAAGAATAATTTCCATGAGATCGAACTACAGTATACGAACGAATAAAGAGAAGAACCATAATTCGTTTAAGAAATGAAAAAGGCATTTTGGAAATTTTATATATGAGGCCGCTAGAAGCAGAGTAGCCTAACTGCAATTTTTATGACTAGACTTATTAATATTTTCATAGTAAAATGTTAATTTACAAAAGCACAATGACTGAAAATTGTTAACTTATTTTTTATGCAAATTATAGTTAAATTCATTGTCGTCTAAGTTAATTGCGCGTTTTTATTTTCCTCCTTATTGAAAGTCATTATTAGGCCACTCTGCCTCTAGCAGTCTCATAATATCTTGAAAAGGAGTTTTGCTCTGTTTCGAAGTTTGCAGTCAAATTATTGTAGGACTAGCTTGTGTCAATACAGCATGATAGAATCATTACTCCAGGCGTAACACCAAAATACCCACCTTTGGAAAGCTAAAGATGTTCAATCCTTGAGCAAAATACTCGAATCGAATCTCGAAGCAAGCTTCTGTTACAAATATAATAGGGCAATAACTATTTATGGAACAATGGTGAATCGCTTACTTGAAAATCAAATAGCACGACGGCTTGCACCTCCTGACCCGACAGCACCGCAATGCAGTTCGCTGACACTACACAAGAGCTATTTGCTTCTATACCAATTTTCATTATTATAAATCAACATACTATGTTAACTACCTTCTTTGCTTGCAAATGACATCAATTTTATAATTTTTAAATGTTGATTTACAGGCAAAGTATATTATAATATAAATTTAAGAGGTATTTGATATTAAAGACCGAACTACCATTGTTCTACCAAAACACAGTGGGTTCTAGTGCCGCCTGTATTGTCATTTTTTTTCCAATCGATTTGCAATAAACATCGTTGTGCAATCAATTGCGATGTTATTCAATACCATTCCGTGATATGGCGTTATAAAATTGTAAAAGGTCATGCATCAAATAATACGAATTGATCAAATGAAGTGTTTCCGTTATTAATTCAGCGACTTAGCCAGTCTTGATGTTATACTCCTTGAGTATCGTGCGTAGTTTACGCCAGTAGTACACAATAAATAAAACTTTCATAACTGTTTAAAACGCGATATATATTTTAATCAGCGTCTGAAAAGCACTCCAAACGTGTTTTTTTTTGCGTTTTAAACGGTTCAAAGTTTTATTTAACCCTATATTTTTGGTTATAGGTAATCGACTCTTAAAACAGTGCCTTTACATTGTTGGATAGCTTCGTAATAGAACAGTTTGCGTGGAAAGTTGCTGTGATATATCCTGTGATGTGCAAAAGTTAACTTTGGATATTTTTTTATGTGATTTACCAGTGCCCAGTACAAACCGAGTACAAAAAAAACGGATAGATTTATATTTACAATGAAAGAGGAGTGTAAGTTGTGTAGTGTAAACGGATGGTGCGGGAGTCAGGGAACCACGGACTTCTCTATTAGCTCCTTAATGAGACCAGCGGTCCAGCACCAGGGGAGCATGGACCCGAGGCATGACGCCGTACTCCTATCGGCGTACCTGTTCAAACTAGGTGATTATCCATTATATCCGCTTCACGATTACTACTCCAACGGCGGTGAGTATCGTGCACTTAGAGGTAGATTCGCACCCAGACTAACACTAGAACTAACGAGTAGCGTTAATAAGTAAACTATACTTTGTTCAAGCGGAGTTTGACAGGAAAATGCCTTAAAAAAAAATCGATTTCAAATTTAAAAAATTTACGACACGGCCAGAATTCAAAGTCCGTGTGGTATTATTTTATATATTCGTGAATTTATTTTTAACTACCACCTGACATTTTAAATTGTTAAATGCGTTTTATTTTAATGCAGGTACTATAATATATTATACATACATGATTAATTATTTAGTTATTAAAGTTATCATACTTACACTCTAGATTTGAACTTCCTTAGGGATAATTAATTAATAGTCTAAATACTACCACATCTCCACAGCTAATTGTCAAACTTATCATCATATGATGGACAAAGTGTAGTGCATTTTATCACATACTGCATGTTGGTTTTATATCTTTAACAGATTTAAGGATTCGCTGAGAGTATGTCGTTCGCGAGCAATTTAGTATATTTACGTCTTCAACGAAGATTATCCACATAAGTTTATTATGTATGGCTACGATTCTAATATAAGAGAGATTTTTAGACTAGAAATTATAGAACCGATTTCAGAACGACATACTATTTTTCAGCGATAGTGTATCATTCATTTTTTTAAATAATTTGTTTATTTAATTTTGTTACACCTTACATACATTTGTTTCACTATCAGTATACTTTAATTCTGTTAAGTAATCGGTAAATCTGTAGTTTACGCTAGTAGTAGTTACACATTAAAATTTAACACTTTAACGGTTTAAAACCCGACATATATTTGTTAAACTTCTTTGAAAATTATTTTAACTACGGCCACACGTTCCGAATGCTGTGCAGCAGCCGAAACGTCGGGCATATAAACAAGTTTAACTAATATATATCGCGTTTTGTGTTAAAGTGTTTTATTTACATATATCCTGATTCCTGACTCTGTTTTATTAATTCTAAAATAGAGTTCTTTTTAAAGGTTTGTTCTTCATTAGGAATTAAGCGATACACGTCACTTTTCGCATTGTTCTCACATAGGTCATCGTTGTTTCCATTGGCGTCACGCGGACGTATGCTAATGCCTATTAAAAATTATAATGTGGCGATCGTTTAGTTTTTCTCTGTCATTTACGTCTCTTCATTTGTAATATAATATAGCGTTGCACGCAAAAGGAGTGGTCAATTTGTCGATTTTTCTTTGTACCGGCGACACGGTGAGTAATATATTCAAATTTAAACTTGTGATAACATTTGATAAGAGATTACATACAATAGAGAATCTCCACATATTATTTCTCTTGTTACTATAACAACGAATAAAATTAAACCCAAGTTAATTTAATCGAACATCGAGATTTTTATATAAAGCTATCACGTGCTAAAGCAATCATTGAAAATATTAAGGTTTCCGACAGAAACATATTTTGCACATGATGACACTATTTAAATTAAAAACCGATTTTTAATTGAAAAAAATACGTGTGGCCCGGAACGCTGTGGCTGAACGGTTCAAGTCCTGCCAGTGGCGTAATAAATGTCAATTTATGTTATATTTTAATTAATATAAATATAATAGAATACGACATAATACAAATATTTTATTAGCCCACACAACAAGACTGATAAAGCCGTTTTTATTGATCCACGTTTTTTAGACTCGCTCTTGGCCATTTTTATTATTTCACTATATTACATTGAATCTTTTGCAAAGTAATACCGGCGACCTCGCGTACACATCCGCCATCTAATCCGGATGTTAAGTACCACTTTAAGCTTCCATTCTATTACAATTTAAAGCACAGGCTTCAATGTTAAATTTAAATTAAATTGGAATCGAAAAAATATTAACTTCCTCAATTAGTTAAGTATTTTTTTCAAAACGCTAATCGTATTATTCTTAATTTGATATAACTCTTTCACCTGTTTCCGCGTGAGGCTTAAACTTGAAGAAATTTAATTATACTCGATTTTAATGTTTTTTACAGATTTTTAAATAACCCGTTTCGTTTATATATAGAAATGCTGTATCCAATCACAACTTAATACAAACACCTGACTTAAAAAACTCGTTTTGGGAACTTACTAGAAAAGGTTATATTGTAAATACATATCTACTTATTAAACTTACTAGTATGTCTATGAGGTATCTTAAATGTACCTATTATAATATACAACTCAAGAATAACCTAACCTTGTATATTTATGCGTGAAAGTGTAAATAATACGATCTTCTCATTCGATAAACTGAAAATATATATTATCTTTATGACCTAGATAACGCACCTTCAAAACTAATTTTTCATTTTCGCTCCGTTGTTTTGTTTCCATTCGTAAAACTGTATACAAATAACTAGACAGCCCCCATGTTTAGTTCAACGCTTCGCATAGTACTTTATACGCGAGAGGTGCTAGGTTCAAAGCCCAAGGAATTATAATTGTTTCGGTAGAGACAGATTAATCAACTTGCCTGTATATAAAATCAATGATTAAAACGGACTCAGATCTTGTATTTTTCTTCTGCCACTCAATAGAAGCAGAGTCTGGATTACGTTATGATGCTATCACTCGTAGTTGAGCACAGTTTTATGATTTACCAGTATTACGTAATCTGGATACGCAGAACGCGAAAACACGTCGACGTAGTTTCGACTTAAGTACGTATATCCCTATTCGGAACTGAGATTACGGAGCTGTTATTTTACTCTGTGGCTTTAAAATACATGTTCCTAGATAATCACATCACGATTATTTAGGCTTCAACACAATGTGTTAAGTAAGAAGCAAATCTATAAATATCTTTATACTCGGCGAGTGAAAGAACACAGTGACGTCACAGGATTCTCCGAATGACTCATGAAATCTTATCCCCATTACGGTGTAACAGGAAAATGGAAAACGCGAATCTCATTTAGAATATACTCTATTTAAGATTAAACGTCTTAAACAGCTTTTCAATTATAATCCGGTCTTAATGTTAATGAATTTGATACTTGAAACCGGATGGTTAGGAGACAAAATCTATTCGTTTGTACTAATAAATAAAATTAGCGAGACTCATGACATAACATTACATTAGGATTATATGAATATATAGTAGGTGTATACATTGTTTCGAATAATTTTTGTTAGCGGTCGAAACCGCTGAACGCCGTAGTCTACATTTATAAGACCAATCTCATCTTCACACGAAACGATATCTGTTTTTGTGTGTTTGATAAATTAGTGCAAAAAGTGTTGCGCAATAAATTATAATTTCAACGACATAACATGTGCGTCATATAAAACTATCGAGCGACGTGCTGACAAATTTCAATTCAGTAAAATAAACGTATCCTATGAAAGCGTTGAGCTTCACATATTTATTCGTATCTGAAATAAAAGTGTTCATAAAACTGTAGGGTAAATAACAAAACACTCGAAAAATAATGACAAACATTTTCTCGATAAACGAACGAGCTATAAAGCTCCAGGTTTTCCGCCGTTCAAGCATAGCTGTATTTATTCTAACATAATGGGGGGGGGGGGCTGACTTTAACTCTCGTATATTTTTGTATTATTTCTATACTAAAATATAAAGAGTGTATTTGTTTGTTTGTCTTTTTGTGTTGGTTAGAGTATTTATCGAGGAAGGCTATAAAACATCGCGCTGTTACTAACAGCAAGCGAGAAACAGCAGGAAATGTAAAAAAAAACGGGGAAATTATTAAATTAGAAAGTGGAAAACGCTTTAAGCTACCCAAAAAAACATGTAAAAGATGATTCCTTTTTTAAATGATTTAAAAACTGTCTCCGAAATTATATCTCTATCTTTTACGATTAACTTGCAAGAACGATGGTACGCGACCGACGCAGTGGACATCAGCTTTAATCTATAAAGATAAAGATGAAGTTTGCATAAACATTTTAATACCCGAAATAACGCGTTCAAAGTCGCTGACACAGCTAGTAAATTAAAAGTTATAATTTTTCCGCGGAATTTTTACCTTATTAGATAAGATAAATAATCGATAAACATACTCGCTTTTATCAAAAATCTCACCTTTCATTTGGCGGACGGCTACTTTGTTATCGAAATGTTGTCTTCTACCGACAGTAATATTATTTAAGTGTGATATATCGCTCTCTCCTTTATATGACAGTTAACCGTGGCGAATTCATCTACTTCAAGTGTAAAAAACATAGGTTACATTTTATATTTTTATGTGTTTCTCATATGCTATCTTCAATTTCTTAATGCATTAAATTTCAAATTATGTAAACAATATTAATTCTCTTTACTGTGATATTTCTTACCTGTCGTTATTTGACAATTCACATTCCTCTCAGACACATATACACTTGAGTTTCGAGATAAAATCAATACATAGTTTATTTACGTGTAGTAAAATTTGTACACATTTGTAGGTAAAGTTTTAATTGCTAAAAATGTTTACATTGACATCAGATTCAGTTGTGTAGATAATACTTTTATGTAATATAATAGTTTGTGCTAATAAAAACTAGGTTGATTTAAAATCTGTAGTTCTTTCTCTGTATATACAACTATACTACAGTTACATTAAGAACCTTTTTAACATTTCAACTTAATTAAGTATATTATTGTTTTAAACCGTTAAAGTGTTATATTTAAATGTGTACTACTCACGTAACTTCTGACAATATTTAATTCGTATTACTTGGATGATTATTTAATTCTCAACCTTGATACTTAATCATAAAGGTGTTACCATCTCACATTGTTTGACAGTATCATAGGATCACATCGCATCGAGTCCATTGTTTTAACGCCAGTTTTTGAACGATTGGCCCTCATAGGACTCTCGTGGCCCCCTGAAAGTGTTTATTTCCATCCGGTAAAAAACAATGACCAGTGAAGCGTCGCCCTTTGATAACTCCCCTAACGAGAACAGTAGGCCGTTCCAAGTGGCTGGATGCAATTCCAGTCAAATTCATTATTGGAGCACGTGGAACTCTTTGTATTCATACTTTACGAGAACACGACATTTTAGTTAGTTCCTTTCGATCCATTATATCCCATTGCTGGGAACAAGTCTGTTCTCGTATATGAAAGGGTTTTAAGAACTTACACCCACCACGCTACTTCAGTATAGCTTGGCAGTTTAATGTTACCGTTGACAATCACCGCACTAAATTGTAGTGTGATAATAACTGAGACCGATTTCTCAGAATAATACGGAAGAAACATTTTACCATACCCAAGATTCCGTGATCTGCAGTCGAGTCCACAGATCACTAACGAGGCTGTTATTATGATAGCGCAGTTAATGTACTATCTTTCTATAATTAAAAAATATTAGATTTAAATTCACCGCTGTATAAAGCGCAGTGTTTACTGAACACCACAGATAAAAAGCCATCGAGTTTAATTGCGTTTCGGATTTGATGCTTATTTTCATTTCCCATCAAATGAACCCCCATCCATGTCTGTCCTCGTCTATCATTTAAAAAAACTGTTACAATGCATCCGTTTATTCGAGTGTGTAATGTTTTATTTCTTTCTATTTGATTTTTATTTGAACAATAAACGAGAAGGTGCATATAATTTATATGTTTTCCGTAAGGAAATATATAAAAATCATCTTATTGATTTTTTAGGTAGTTTTATTATAGACCCCTGCTAGCGATGCATTCATAGGAAATTGACTCATTAAATATTTATAAAGTGCCTCACAATAGTTTTAAATTAACCATGAATGCGTGATTTCGATTCGTCATATGTCGAAGGGGTAGTTGATCCCTCTATTCTTTTGTCAAAAACAAATGAAGTTAAGAAGTGGTCGATTCGAAATTTAAAACGATTTACTAAAATTATATAATCTTATGTATGCGTATTACAAATTTATTATGTATATGGTGTTTGAATAAAACAAGATAAATACTGTCTATAGTTTACGTGAGTAGTACACATATTTTACACATACATTAAATAAAACACTTTAATCACGGGGAGACTGCAAAGCATCCGAAACGTCGGGCCGAAGTTAAAAATCATTTTTCAAATAAGTTTAACTATTATATCGCGTTTTAAACCGTTAAAGTTTTTTATATAAATAAAAGAAGATAATTTATTTAAAGTTACAAAATATTTTGTTTGTCTATCTGTTGAATAAATAAACTGTATTTTTATACAACTAAATTAAAAAGAAAAAAACATTTGCATATGAAACTGCTGCTTCGTTTTAAGTGAAAGTTAAAGTTACAAACTCACTATTAAACTCCTAACACTATGTTCAGTGTATTGTTTGCATACACTAAAACACTTTTGAGCTTCATTTATTCGTTTACTTCTTTAACTAAAGCTAAAAAGTTTCGCAATATTAATTAAATTCTTTGCATGTTATTTAGTGAAATCCCATTCCCCCCGTGGGGCATGGGCTGAACACATTCCTGTAACCTTTTACTGATGAGATGTATTCGTATGTTTAAATACATTACCAGTTGATGTTTCAAATTTATCCTCTGCTCTTTTGAACACTCTGTAGAATCGCGACAAACAGACACACAAACAAAAAATTTTGACGAATCTAAACAATTTTAAATTTTTAATAATATAAGAATAAAATAAGAATAGCTTTGTGTGTAAGTGTTTTGATGTAATAGATATACAACTTTTAAGTCATTAACTTTTCGCAGAAACAAATTTTACCCTCAATTTTCACCCCACAGTCGACTTTCGTGGAACTATTCTTGGAAATGCCTGATAAAAGAAACCTGAATAATTAAGGCTAGCTGCGAGTGGTGGCGTCCTAAATTAGAATCAAGAATTTATAGTTGACACATTAACTGTACTGTCCTTTGAAGATAAGCTAGATTATTAACGGTATATTTTTATTTTAATATCAACACAATACACGCTTAAATAAGCACGTGTGATTGATTGCCTTTAAATGAATATTAATATTATCATTCTATCTGAATTTATTAACTGGTATTTTTTTTTACTCAAGTACAAAATATATTAAAATAGTAACAATTTTAGTTAAAAATAGTTGATATTGGTGTCCATGTATTTCGTCACAACGGTTTAAAAATATGTTTTTAAATTGTATATTTATTATTTTTGTACAAAAAAATTATAGGTTATGTACCTACGTAGATTAATAAAACTCCTTTCATACAATCTAGTTTATTAAAATTCTTGTGTCCGTTTATCTTAATGTTAAGTATATATAAATAGTAGTGTTTTTACGGAATAGCGCTTTAATTTCATCAGAAAATGTTGAATTATTTATTGACAATAACAATGTTCATTTGCACGCATTCATTGTGAATGATATCAAATTGATGTATGGTTTTCGTAATATCAATATTTTGCCGCGGAGCTTGCCAACAATATTTAATAGCGCGCTCTTGTTTCCTACTAAAATATTTGCGCTTTACGAATCATGAGATTTAAACTGCACGTGTAGTTAGTTTAGAGCAAGTTGATATATTTTCCAGCGGAGAACTTTAGCTTAGTCTATTAAGAATTAATGAAGGATAATAGCATAAATAGAATAAAAAATAAACAAAACATCGGTAGCATCTTAGCATACAATGCTACCAATGTTTCATTTATTTTCTAATTTAATCAACTGGTCGTAGGTTTTTTTTAAATCTTCGTCTGGATATCTGGATATAAAATGAATAGGAATATTGAAAATTCCGCCGAAGTCACGGACCAACGTCCTAAAAACTCTATATTACTTAATCGCGTTTTGGTTTCAATGTGTGGATATTCTAGCCAAAATAGGCCGACAGCGCATCTTGTTTAGATATTATACAGCTGGTTTATGTCACTTTCTATCAAGTGAACCCCAGCCTTATTTGTCCCCCTCTATCATATAAAAAACAATTATCGTTTATACTTCTCAACCGCAGAACACAATTGTGTCGTTTTCTGTGTTCTTGACTACATTGTCTGTGGTAAATATTTTATGGCGCCTTTAGCTGGACAAGTGACGCACTATTTAAATGAAATGATGCCCAGAACTTGTGCATATAGAACTAGTGAACAGATATTATATTTGATTAATTTAGAATCGTATTGTTTCAGGTAAGCCGTGTTCGTGCACGTATTGTGATCCTATGCCACGCACGCCCTATGGTAAGTTTAAGATAACCAAACAAAAGTCATGATCGTTTTATATAATAAATACCTAATTTTAATGGTTAATATATGAAAAACACATTTAAAAAATGCTAAGCTTTAAATATTCGTGTGAAACCTAATACTTAAAAATCTCGTATGTCCTTGAAAAATATATTTTTTGCTATTTAGAACGAGGTAGATTTTAATTGCACAGCTGTGTTGTCTTACAAACCTAACTAAAATACCGCACATACTTCTAAAGAAACAGAAATGAGCGCACCTCGTTATACGGAATATGCTCATAGAGGCTGAACGACTGACATAATTATATTAGTTCATGTTCAGCCTTTGTCCAATTGAAACCAGCTATGACACAGTATAATATTACAAACAGTAACGACATCTTAATGCTAGTCGCCTGCTAGAGAGATGCAAAAAACATTATATGCTCTCGTTACAATATTTTATTTTAAATTGAATAATTCTCTTTCAACTTTATATACAATTTCAGAAAGACATAGCTTTATATTTATTTTGCTATGATTAAGCTAATTAAAACCAAAATATCACTGAATAGATGTGTATTCTAAATAATAGGAATACACACCTAATAAGAACAATGGCTTATCATCGCTAAATACTTGTAAATATTTGCCATAGTTGTAGATCACATTAAAAAATCTCTTCCCACGCACCCTACTGTCTGTTTGTATGCTAGAACCAGTGCAGTAATCAAGTAGGCAATAGGTCGCCCGCATCGTTCCCATGCACTATTCACGTATACGTGTGCCTCAAAAAGCGTCCAATAAACATTCTACCCTTATACTTATGCAGAGCGGACGCTTTAAAGTGTGGGAACATAGCCCACTGAATAATGCATTGAGGAAGATCATATTTTTTGTAATTCTTACGTCATAGCTCTCGGTTACAATACGTTTGCGATCGCTATTGCTCTTAACAAATTTTATAAACTGTTACTCGATACAATGAAAATATTCAAACAGTATTATGATTATTTTTTTAATTTAATAAACGATTTTTTTCTTAATGAAGTTCTTAGTTTTTTTCTTAGTAATATTATTTCTACATATAATACTATTTAAACTAAACACTGTTAAGGGTAAAAAAACGTGAAATGTATTACTTACTAATTTACTACTTATTTTAACTTTGAATACCGGTATTTTGGATGTTTTGCAGCAGTCGTGGTAGTGGTGGGATTCTTGTTTTCTTGAAATGTGAACTACAGACAATAGTTATAATTGTTATTTAAAACTCGTTACGAAACACGTTGCAAATATGATTAATTTCGTCGCAAACAGTTACTTGTTTAGGTTAGGGCTATAAAACGGGAAGCATAGAATAACACGATTATTAAAAAAAGTTCGATCACATAAAGACGGGTCACGTGTATTCTATATCTAAATATTATTCCACAAACGAAACATATCGCGTTACATCTCAGTAGAGCAACGTCGGGTATATTAATAATGTCATTACCATTGGCCCAATAATCCCCGTTAACTAATTGCTCGGGTTTAACTCTTGACGTCAATTAAATTTCGTCACTCGATTCGGTTTTCGATTTTACGAGGGCTCTGCACAGCTCTGAAATGTTCGTTAAAGGCTTTAAAAAAGCTTTATTTCACTTCCATGTTTAGTCGGCAACTGCTGTTTGTACGAGTTTAATTGCTCGGTTTTGTATGCTTAAACAGAACTGATCTTGTCCTTACTTCTTTGTCGCTGTACAATTCTAATTCTTATTAATTATGTTGAGATATCTCGCTACAGTTACATAACGTAAACAAAGGAAGTTAGCACTTGAAAATTATGTAAATATTTACAACATAAGGTTTTAAATTATATCTTCGTATCTTAGTGCGTATGGACAATTCTAGACAATATTTATAATGCGGTACCCGTTATTCATATCAAAGAAGAATCAATATAGACTGCAAGCTAAAACTAACTTCACCATTTATGCTTACATTCAATAAATTGTAAAGTGTTAAATAAAACGTTTTAAACATATGATTTATCCACTTCCTCTGCTAACAGCGGAGCTTCGAAAGCAATAAATCTTAGGCGTTGGGTAAGTATACTTTCTTATTCAAATAATGTTTTTCACTTGATCAAGTTTAATAACATCGACGTTTTATAGTCTTCGTTGTCTTTGTTTAAAAATACACTATTAGTCATAATATCGTAGAATTCAACAATTCTTTTTCAGGAATTTCTTCGTCAATTTCTTAAATTGTTCATCTTGTTTAGCATTTTATACCAAAAATGGATGAAAAGAGGACCCAAACATATAATTTAATCATAGAACAGTACCCGCATCTAAAACCCATCCATTTCAAATCACCCTTACTTATAAATGGCCAATCCAACAATTGAACTATAATTAGTGAGAATGGGGAGATATTCGGCTTCAGAAAATTTCCGCAGTTTAAACCGAACTTCGGAATTAACAAATTCTTGTACCACAAAGGCTATATTATATTAATTATTAAATAATCTTTATAAGCTATTATCCTTGTTGTGTAGTCGAGGTGAAGTTGAGTAAACTCGATCACGCTCTCAAAAAGTTGTGTCAAGTAGAGTTGTGTTTTGTTTTTATTTTATCCGGATATGCTATAAACTTCGGTTTCGGTTAATTCTGCATTCCCATCTTCAATAATTAGTGGGACTGACATCTCTTTTCTCTTCACACTAATTGCCACCCACGCACATACCCGAATGAGTAATGCGTTTGTTTTTTGTCTTCAATCACATAAACAGTTTATTGTCGCTTTTATTTTGGGTTAGTTTCGTGCGTGGGGTAGTTGCGTCAGAGGATAGATGGAAACCTATTACGTCGGTATTTATAGACATCAAGAAGTCAATATAATATCAATATAGGTAGGTACTTATAGACTTATAGTTGTCACTGAATATTCTTGATGTATGTATTTACATACAATCAAAATAGGTAGACAGAGCTAAATAGAAAAACTGAAACTTCCGCAAAAATAGAACAAGCTATTGTCGACATTGTTTTAGGCGCGTGTTAAGCTGAAATTAATGCCGATGTAAAAACTTACTGAAGTTTGCGCTAGATATCAAAAGTACTAATATCTTAATTTGCAACGCTAAAGATATTTAATTCAATTACTTATAAAGCTCAGGGTGTTAAACAAAAGAAAACAGATTTCGTCGTAACATTTGTAGACATTTCCGGTGTGCAATATGTAGCTTTAAAACTACAATAAGCGGCTGATATTTTGTATCTTATCTCGTTGAATTATTCATGCCTACTTTGAAAGTGGCTCATTGAATTTAGGCCACATCAAAGAGATTTATGATTAATTCGAATGTTTTTGGGTCAAACTATATACTGCGCGACATTACCTAATTTCTCGCGTTGTCTGTCCCTATTTACCATTTAACTTTTTTAGTTAGAATTCTTGACCTGAATGAGATGTTTCGACACTATGAATACATTTGATAATCAGCGCAAGACTATATGAACTATACTTTGGCTAATATAGAATAATATATTTGACAGGTCGTCTATGCAATGTTAAACTTTTTTTAAATGTGTATGCGCTGTGGCTGCCGTTTAGTGATTTTCAACAGAGTAGCGTACACGATAGAAAATTTATGACTTATAAAATTCAACCACTGTATTCATATTTCTTAAGGAAGTGTAGGAATGAGGCGTAATATAGTATAATTATTTTACTCATATCGGTATCACACATTTTAAAGCCGCTTCCTTTATTTTGTATATTGGTAATTGAATAAATTCCCTATTATCAATTGTCAAACTCTTCATCCTACACTAGACATAGTATAGACGCTCGGGCTACGAAACTGCAAGGCCAGATTTACATTGTCATAATTTATCCGCTTCCTTGTATTCGCCAGTGATCTCACGGTTTGTTATCTTCTAGCATTTTATCAATATCCGAGTTTCGAGATAATGTAAATACGGTACGTTATGTAAATCGCGCTAATTTTTGCGAAGGTCGGCGTGGAGACCTCGCGAAAGTCAGTTCCGACCTCGGGTATATCATTGAAGCGATATCGTGATATGCGCAGTTATTTGTGATGATAGTCATTTGTTCCTCTTCCTTCGCCGAATTAATGTCCGCGTGCGCGCGCGCGGTCTGACATGATTCAGTTATGTGGAAGAAGATCTATGCAAGTAAGTGATTATATTTATAACTATAACCATTATTAGAAACGTTGTTTAAGTTATCGATTCAGCAAAAACACGTGTTTATGTACGTTCTAATTTAATTTAATAGTTTATTGCGTCAGAGTTTTGAAAGTTGAGTTTTTCCTTAATTGCACAGCTAATGACTGCTTAAATTTTCGTGTGTAGTTAAAATTGTGTTTTTTTGTCATTTTCTAGTTGATATATGTAATAGTTATGTGTCCAGCGTTCATTGTTGCTATGAACTCGACTTTTCTTTTTTATAAAACAAAGATAATTAATAATAATACATGGGCGTTTCCGCGGACAATACAATTGTGAATCTACGAAATATTGAAAAAATTACATACATTAGGAACAATTGCATATTACACATCTTTATATTTCATTAAGCTTCATACTCAATTCGTCGAATCTTGTTATATTACGATATAGATGACCTATGATAATTAAAGCAATTGCCTTGAATTTATTCGCGAAACGAACATATTAAATATGCTGGAAATTGCGTAACAATGTTACTTCTTTGTTTCAATTACAAGCAATCAGCCAATTTATTTGTAATAAGGCGAAAATCTTCTTGTGGATTTTATTATTATTTACTTAGTAGCTATTTCATCTTCGTCTATAACGTATAATTTTAAAACGTAAATTAAAACTACGTAATTAGCCAAGCAATATGTATTATGTCTGTCTAGAAGAATTCTTGTAACAGGTGTACCGAGCATCTGTTAGTTTACGTATTTCTAACAGAATACAATTGGTTTAAATCTGACTCCTTCCTTTTGTGAATATCAAAATAATACATTTTATC